CCAACAAACCATACATCAATGGAAAGATAATTTATTCAGCTTTCAGATGATGTGTAAATCTCAATTTCACAAAATTGACCCTCATGACTGGTTTTGTGCTCCAGGGTCACAAATGTCTAAATTGCTCGATTATACATTGCAAAGGCGTGTGCCAGTGTTTCCACTAAATCTCAGCTCTGGAAAGTGTTCCCAACAATGTATTGATTTAAATAAAGTGAAGTAATGCACTGTATTTCACGTTGGTTATCACTGTATTCATATTGGTTATTTAAACTGTTGACTTGCTTGTGAATTATAGACTGATTAGAAACTGTTTGACTGATTCATTTGTTGATGATTCAGCACTGTGTTCATGCAGAGAGTGCAGTACGACAGAAAGATGCTGAACAGCGCTGTAGGAAACACTGATACGTGCTCTAAAGATGTCATTAACTTACTCAGATGAAACCCCTCTGTTACCAGATCTAACAAGACTTTAATTGATTGTTGCAAATGCGACTATCGTAGTCACAGTCGGGACTCCTGGTGTGTGTGTGTGTGTGTCAACACGTGATGGTTTACTTTCACTGAAACTGTGGATTTTATCTGCTCTGGAATCATCAATTCTTCCCTCACTGCTAAAATCTGAACTCATAGAGAACTCAAGCTGCAAGCGTGCTCAGTCTCTCTGTCTGTCTTGTCCTTCAGTTCTGGGAGTGCACGTCTCTGTCGTCTCTGGACGCGACGGGTCTCGGCTCAGGTTCTGGCTCCAGCAGTGCCTCCTCGTCTTCGGTGTCGTCCACACCGGTCACAGCGTCCCGCTCGCACAAGCGCTCCGTCTCCGGCGTGTCCAGCTACTCGTCTCTCTCTCTGCCGCTTTACAACCAGCAGGTGGACGACTGCTGCATCATCAGAGTCAGCCTGGACGTGGACAACGGAAACATGTACAAGAGCATACTGGTGAGAATAGTGTGAAAGAGCGGAGAGACCGAGCAGGAAGATCATCTAGATCAGAGGCTCTCATGTGGTTTTGTTTCAGATTTTACATCAAGTCCAACACGGTACCAAAAGCGTTTCTCATATAAAAGTAAACAAAACTAGTTTAATTACCATGCGATCCATTGGTGCAAAAGTTTGTGAACCCTGTCAAACTCTAGTTCAGGCGACTCGAACCAGTGGTGAAAACCGCCAGATGTACAGATGTTCCACACTTGGATCAGGATGCATGTGTGTGTGTGTGTGTGTGTGTGTGTTTCAGGTCACCAGTCAGGATAAGACTCCCGCAGTCGTGAGGAAAGCCATGATCAAACACAACCTGGACCGCGAGCGAGCCGAGGATTATGAACTGGTTCAGAAAATCAGTGAGGAAAAGGGTCAGTCATCAGAATATGGTATAAAACATACCTTTGCTGATATTTGCCTCCTCTTGCTGATGAGCTCAATTTTGACAGATTTTTGATTTGGAGACATTGAAAGTGACCTGATTTTACAGTAGGCCCTGTTATTGTGTTCCCACACAGAGCTGAAGATTCCCGACAACGCCAATGTTTTTTACGCCATGAACTCCACAGCCAACTATGACTTTGTCTTGAAGAAGAGAGGTTTCCCGAGAGCAGGCCGCACCAAACACGTGGCCAGCTCCACGCTGCCCCGAATGAAGCAGAAAGGTCTGAAGATCGCCAAGGGACTCTTCTGAACCCCAAGCTCTTGTTGTGTCAGTACAGCAGCAGCTGGATGGCCAAACTCTCCCTGAGAGGCGATCTGTATGTTTACAGTCATTCCCGAATCTCCGAGACCCGCTTCGTCTGTGGTGTCACTAGCGCTGCTTCTGAGGTCAGCTGTAGGTCCTCTTTCACATGATGGTGTGGTCATCTGGCTGATCACATGACCGGAAGAGACCGCACACCTTCGTCAGAATGTCACACTCATCAGTGTTTTTCCTCTTTACTACCGCAGTGGTGCTCAGGCCGATGAAACTTCTCTCTCTTCTTCTGTTTCTTGCTTTCATTTCTCACACATTCAGAGATGCCGAGTGACTCTGTCATTGGCTTTGTTGATAAAAGTACGATGAAAGCGAATTCACTTTATTGCCACTACAAATGATCATTCTGGAGGAGGTGGTGTTCACGTGTAAATCTGAGCAGTGGACGTTTGTTTCTAACATGAGTCTAGTATAACAGCGCAGTCGCTCACTGTGACACTCGACTTCAGTATCTCAGAGCTCACATGTGCTGTCTTCAGTGCTATTAGCAGTCGCTGCAGCGCATCGCTACTCATTCACGTAAAGAATGGCTTTCAGGCTTCTGAAATGCAGCCATAGCATCTGAAATTAGAATGAAATGCCAAAAGGTTTCCAGGTGTTCAGCGGTCCGGAGACATTGGCTGTAGTTCTGATGAACCGGCGCTGAGATCGGAAGAAGAGAGAAACCACATGAAAAGTGAAACTGCACATAAGAAGAGAAATGAACATGAATTGTAATGAGTTTGTTTTGTTTTACATGTAGTTCAGCGGTCGTTCATGACTGAATGCACATGCTTCACAAAGCTGACCTGCCATAGATCCTTTATATGTGACCGTATGAGTGTGTGTGCACGTGCTTGCTACGTTTTAATGTCTTTGTACGTGTGTTCGTGTCTTGTGCTTATGACGACAAAACCAAAAGGGCCAAAGATCTCTGCGCTTTCCGAAAGCGTCGCAGTCCAGTGAGGTCAGCACTGCCTGTTCAGGAAAATCTACCATTTCCCAGGATCTCGGATCAGAGTGAAATACCACAGATATCTGCTGCCATTCGTCTTTTTCACTGTCAAAACTATATTGAAGAAGAAAAAAAAAAGGTTTTATTATAACTCGCCTGCTCTGGTTTTGTATCTTCTTTTGTGTAATTTTTGTACAATATGAATTGTCCTTTGTACTTTTGCCTTTCATTTGGTTTGAGTGTGTGTGTGTGTGTGTGTGTGTGTGTATTTATTGATTTGTAAATACTTTTTGTAGCATTGTACATTTAGTTTCTTCTCCCATGTAATTATGAACTAATATGTAAATATGAATATATCTATGCGAAGTTTCTACCACTACAAATAAGGGATTGTGTTTCTTTCAGCTCTGTTGACTTTGGGTTTTCTGTTTGTCTCGTCTTTTTTCATGGTTTAAATTTGCTATTATTTTTTTTCCTTACGATGCACTGTTTCTAATATTGGCGAAACGACTAATAAACACATGCAGTGCGATTCATTTAGTGCTCTTTTGTTGTGCTCTGCATGCTGTAGTTCATAAGAAGACAGATGCAGTACTGCACTAGTGTGGTCAGCAGGTGGCGCTGTGGTGATAGCTTTGAGCTCTGTAGGCAGAGATGCTCCACAAACTCTACATGATGTTGAGAAGAGTTCAGATTAAAAGACAGATGACCTGTTCGGCTGCACACTATTATAAATGCACCGTAAAATTGGGTCTCGTGTTTCACGTCTTCTCAAACAACACAGAAAGAAAATGAAACACTTATTCGACAAGTTCCCCTCCACTAAAGCGCTGAAATCCCATTTGTTTTTCAGCATTGAGAATAAAAAATTATAACATCAGAAAACGTGTGTGTGTGTGTGTGTGTGTGTGTGTGTGTGTGTGTATGTAACATACTAGTGCTCTGGGGCGCGTTTCCCAAAATCAAGTATGGTCGCAAGTTCCGTCGATATCAATAGAGTTCAATGGAACTAACGATGCTTTTGGGAAACGCACTGAACTGCTGATGTACTGGAAAGAGCTGCATACAGACTGCTTCTGCCTTTTACTGCAAACAAAACGGCATATGGAAATATAGGCCTATAATAAAAACGATGTCTTATATCCGCTATTAAATTTAAAGACCAAATGAAAAGTAGAGTTATTAAACAATACCTAATTAAAAGTTAAAACCTGTTAGACGAGATGAGCGAAGGTCTTGCTTCTACAATAATTCCACTTCTTCACTTTATATAGGCTACCCTTTTCACAGTGACGTCAGCTAACTTCCGCTTTCCCGCAGAGCAGTGCATCTGTACTTCCGTTATACCTTTACACCGGAGACTTCTCGGGAAAATGTAGGAAAAACGTGAAATATGAAAGGCGTTATTTAAGAGTTAAGACTAATAATGTTAATGTACTTACAGTCGGGATCTTTTGCGAACGTTTTTCTTCATCTGCTTTAGATGGGTGGCTTGCTTGCCGCAACTGCTTGCTTTCAGATTTGTATGACAACGATTATGTGTTCACACAAAATACATACTTGAAA